GGTTAAAAATTAAGCAGGGCTTAATAATAATGAAAGATTAATGGGAAAGGTATGGAATTAGGTATAGTATAATGGCATACCCTATTTAAATACAATTTCTATGCTTTTTTATTATATATTTTATGGGCTTATTAATTTTTATATGTTTTAATAATTTTTATAAAAATTACCAAATTCCCTGTGGTGTATTAGAAAGAGCATTGGCCTAAGAGACAGTGAATGTGGGTTCTTGTCCTAGATTTGCCACCAACTAGCTCCCTGACTTTAGGCAAATCACAATCTCTCTGAACCTATTTCCTGAGCTACAAAACAAAATCTCACAAGAGTACTGTATTTTGTACTTAAGTATTTTGTAAAGTATAAAGTGCTATATAAATATAAGATGATGATGATTATTGTAAACTATGTCTAAGGAAAATCTTATTGTCCAATTAATTAATCAGAAAACAATGAAATACCGATTAAGTGTGAGATACTATGCTAGGTTCTGGGCATACACAGACAAAAAAGATAATACTCCCAACCCCTAGGAACAACCCATTTGGTCAAACCTATAGTAAGGAGAGAGAGAGAGTGAGAGTGAGAGAGAGAGTGAGAGAGAGAGAGAGAGAGAGAGAGAGAGAGAGAGAGAGAGAGAGAGAGATTGAGTGTGTGTGTATGTGTGTGTGTGTGTGTGTGTGTGTATGTGTGTTGGGGGGGAAGAAGAAGGGAGTGCTCACTATCAGCTGGGAAGACTTTGAAAGTCCTTTGAGGCAACAAACCTTGATGGAAAAAGCAAAGAGAAAGAAGACAGAATATCATGTACAGAGAATAGCAAATAGCCCAATTGGGCTGCGTAAGAGAAAATAATGTGTAATAATCCTGGGAAATTAAGCTAGGGAAGATTGTGAAGGGCTCTAAAAGTCAAACAGATGAGTTTACATTTTATCCCAGAGGCCACAGGAAGCCACTGAAGCTTCTTGGGTAGGGAAACGACAGAGTCAGATATATCTTTAGGACATCACTTTGGTAGCTATGAAGAAGATAGATTAGAGGCAGGAAGATCAATTAGGAAGCTACCATAATAGTCCAGGAAAGAGGTAATGAGGACTTGAAAGAGGGTGGTAGCCAGGTAAGTGAAGAAAAGGGTATAGATGCAAGAGGTTTAAATCAATAAAAATTGGCATATAACTTAATGTGAAGAGTGAGAGACACATAAGAGCTGAGGACAACTCAATCAATAAGCATTTATTAAGTGCTTACAATATGCGAAGTGCTAGAAACACAAAGAAAAAAATTAAACTATCCCTGTCCTTAAGGAGCTTACATTTTATTGAAATGACTCTTAGGTTGCAAACCTGGGCAAGTAAAAAGATAGTGGTGGTCTTGACAGAAATGGGGAAGGTGGGAAGACAGGTGAGCTGCGGAAGGGAAAATGAAGTTCTATTTGAGTTTGAAGTACTTCTGGGTCATCAGTTTAAACTGTCTAATACTAATACGTGATGCAGGGTTGCAGCTGAGGTGAAAGACTAGATCTGATGTTCATCTGCATAGAAATGATAAACTGATTCATGGAAGCTCATGAGATCACAGAGAGAGAGTATACAGAATAAAGAGAAGAGGGCCCAGGACCCGGTCTTGGGGTACATTCAAAGTTTTGGCATGACGATCCAGCAAGGACTAAGAAAGGGAGACCAGACTAGTAGGATAGCACTACAGTATTATAACATATCATAAAGACCAAGAGCGAGTCATCATAAGCTCAAAGACTAGAAGGGACGTTGGAAGCCTTCCAGTCTAACCTCCTTAATTTATATTGAAGAAACTAAGGCTTGAGTATGCAGAAGAAGAGGTCAACAGTGTCAGCTACTACAGTGAAAACAAGAAGACTGAGAACTAAGAAGGTCACTGGATAAAAACTGTGGTGATTTTTCTGGATTTATTTTTTAAGTTATTCCTTTACTGAAATTTCTGTTTCAATGAATTTCTGTGCTGATTCTCTGGGGTTTCCTAAGCAAGCCATCATGTCATCAACAAATAAATTTGCCTTTAATTTCTTTCTCTTGTCTTATTACAATGGCTAGCATTTCTAGAACCATGTCAAATAACAGTGGGGAAAAGGTACATCCCTGCTTTATTTTTGCATTTATTAAGAAAGATTTTAGTGTGTTCTCACAGCAAATAATACTAGCTTTTGGTTTAAGATATGTATTTTTTTTCATATTAAAAAATGGTCCTATGTTTTGTGAGTTTTTTTTTTAACATAAACGAGTGTTATGCTCTAACATAATTGTATGGTTCTGAGAATATGTTTTATTTTCATTTTTATTATTAGGAACTTGAGAAATATCAATAAACATGGCCATCTCTGTTTTGTTTTTAACATATTAAATATGTTCATTAATATTGTCTTCCTAATGTCAAACTACATTTGTATCCTGAAGATTCAGTTTGTTATTGTTCATTTAGTTGTGTCTTCATTTGGGGTTTTCTTGGCACAGAGTGGTTTGCCATTTCCTTCTCCAGATTATTGTAAAACTGAGGAAACTGAGGCAAAAACAGGGTTAAGTGACTTGCCCAGGGTCACACAGCTAGTGTCTGAGGCCAGATTTGAACTCAAGAAGATGAATCTTCCTGACTCCAGGCTGTGGCACTCTATCCACTGTACCACCTAGCTGCCTGACCTGAAGTTAAATCTAACTTAATTTTAGGAAATAACTTTTCATATGTTACTATAGTCTGTCAGTCAGGATTTTATTTCAAATTTTAAATTGATATGCATTAGTGATATTAATCTATATTTATCTTTCTTTACTTTATCCTATCCTTGGTTCAGGTATCAGGAGTACATCTTTCTCATAAAAGAATTAAAGATTAAGAAATGGAAGGTAATTCTGAGTCATCTAGTCCAATCCCCTTTAAAGAAAATTGAAGTAGTGTGCATCATTTTATAATTTTAAGACTAAAGTTATTAATTATTCTTTAAACATTTGATAGAATTCACTTATAAATCAGTCTGTATGAGGAAGCTTTTTCTTGGGTAGTTAGCTCTTTCACAGATAGTATGAATTCTTTTTTTCTGAAAGAGAATTAAGATTTATATTTCTTGTTAAATGTTAATTTGGGTATTTTTTATGTATTTTAAAGATATTTCTCTTTTAAATTCTTAATTTTGCTGGGATATAATTATGTATACTAGATTCTGAAAATCCTTTTTCTTTTTTATTTATGATTTCACCCCGTTCTTCTATTATTTTAGTAATTTGATTTTTCTCCCCCTTTTCTTTAACAATATCTTATAGTTAATCTACAAAATATACTTCAATACTTATATATATAATTATAAAATACTTCTCAAAGAAATAGTGAACAATTTAAATAACTTGAGGGGATATTAGGTGCTCATGACTCAGTCTTGCCAATGTAATACAAAGAATGACGAACCTACTTGAATAAATTTATGGATTTTGTGCTATACTACTCAAGCTACCATGGGGATACTTTAGAAAGCTAGACATAATTATAACAAAAATTTATTCAGAGGAACAAAAGGTCTAGAATCTCCTGAGAAATAGTGAAAAAAAGTAGTAATCAGAGGGAATAGCATTTTCAGACCTCATGTTATACTATAAAGCAATATTCATTAAAATTATTTGGCACTGGATTAAAAATAGCAAAGATCAATGAGAAGAGATTAGATAAAAAATTAGAACCAACTCTATTCAATAACCTAGTTCAATAAACTATTTGGGAAAGAACTTCCTATTTGACAATAACTGCTGGGAAAATAAAAAAGCAGCTTGGAAGAAATTAGGTTTAAAGAAAAGGCTAACTGGATTTAGTAATTAAGAAATCACTGGAGAGGGCAATTTCAGCTAAGTGATGAGACTGGAATCCCAGTTGCAAGAGGCTGAAAAGTGTTAAGATCAAAGCACTACTATCTACTAGGTAGGGATAGTCAGTTGAAAAGTGAAACAGTTATGCCTCAGAGGTTGTGCCAAGATAAAGGCATGAGTAATCTTGCAAGCCTATTTAAGAGATGTCAGGATTTCTAAGCTCCTTATACACTCTGAAAGATAAGACAGAAAAGCTCTTGGGGGGCTGGGTAGCCCACAATAGGACTTAAGAGCATAAAGTCTGTATAGCATTGTATGCCTAGGTTTGTAATGCTACCAAGGGAAAATAAACATATGATGTGTTAATGTACCAGAATTTATAAAGTAATAAAAATCTTGAATATCTGTGCTATAGTCCTTAGATTTTTAAATAGAAAGAAATTGTGTAATGGCATCAGCAAGATCCAATCAGTGTTTCTTTCATAACATATTTCACTAAGCGAATGTACCTCTTGGTGTGCAACTGCAATTCCCTTTGAACACATGACTCTTCATCCCTCAAAGTACATGGGATTGTTATATAAGCATACAGTGCACCTCCTTTAAATAATAAACCATTATATCTCTCCTCCTCGATATCATTCGACTCCCTCAAACATCATCAGTTAGTGACATACATACCCCACTCCTGCCTAAAAAAACCACTGGCACTTCTAGAATCTTATAAGTCCTTCTTTCCTGATGAGGAGAATCCCTATATTCTCTCACTGTTACCACTGCTGCCTATAAAGCACACTTTTCTTTATTTCTACATAACCTTCTATTATCTCCAACCTGTTTGTCCCCTAGCAAAAATAAGTACTATAACTATCTGAAGACCCTATTCAACCTACTCCTTGCCAGGAGCTAGAATCCCATAAGCAGCTTCCTTGGTCACTTCCAAAGTCTTCCAGTACTGAAGTTTAATATTCCATCCTTCTGTAATTGTCTGACATGCGAACATCTTGTTTTATCAAGTAGATTAAAAATTCCTTGAAAGCACAAAACATACCTTATGCTTTTTTTTTGTATCCTCCACAGTGCTGGACAAACATTAGGCCTCAAGTACCTGTTCACCTACTCTAAACTAACCACCTTGGCAAAACAATCCACCCTTCCCTCCCTTGAGATGAATCCCTTTCTCACCAATCTTTTGGAGAGGGTGGGGATCCACAGTGTCACATGTCAACTGAGTCTCCATGGCTTGAACCCGAATGCTTGGTGACTTTCTCAATGTCACTGGAGCTGGGAACAGGGGTGTCACCCCTTCCCACAGTAATGCTTGTTCCTGTGTATGGGCTGAGACCTAGAAATAATCAGATGAGGTTGAACTTATAATCAATCAGTCAACAAGCATTAATTAAGTGCTAACTATGTGTGATGAATTACAACAAGCAATGATAATACAATGATAAAAGTAATGGGGGAGACAACACATACACATACATATAAATACACACACACATATATCTATTAATGAGTACATACAGAATCCATACAAAATAAATAAATACAAAGTGGTTTTTTGAGGGTATACCCTACTAGCTAGGGAGACTAAGAAAGGTTTCTTCAAGAAGGTGGCAAAACCATTTGGGAAACTAGTTAAAACCTGAAAAGAGTTCTCAGGAACAATTCTAAAGGACAAAAGGCACTAGAAAAAGAAACCAATTGCTTTCAGTCAACAAGCTATCAGGGAACAGAAAAGAGAAAAAGAGGAACAGTTTTTTCTTAGTTTTAAAATGTTTTAAACTCAGCCACTCTGTCCCAAATTCTGTGCCCATTACCCCTTGTTGCAGTCTAAAGGTCTGCGCCCCTAGTCTCCTATGACACAGAATCATTCTCCCTACCTGCTGTCCTGGTTCATCCAACTCTCTCTCCAAATCTTCCAGTAGCATCACTACTTCCTCACCACTTTCTGGATGTCGTTCCTGTAACCAGATCTGGAGTTCCTCTGGTAGGATACTCAGGAACTGCTCCAGCACCAGCAGTTCCAAGATCTCCTCCTTAGTGTGCATCTCTGGCCTCAGCCACTCACAACAGAGCGTCCGCAATCGGCTCAGAGCCTCTCGGGGCCCAGGTGTCTCCTGGTAGCACAACTGCCTGAAGCGCTGCCGCCAGATCTCCTGGTTGGGGTGACTGTTACTCTGCTGACTAGATTCCTGCTCCCAGGTGGGATCATCTTCCACCTTGATTATTATAGGCCCGTCCTGATCCTGTAGAGCCTGGGGAGAAAGGATGGCAGTCTCTTTGGATTCTGCAGTCATCATACAGGCTCACAGGGTGGTCTCCCTCCAGACAGGATCTGTGCTGCTACAATCAAATCCCAATTGTCCTTTAGGCACCTAGAGATTCCTGATGAGCTTCTCTTTATAATATTCTTTAAGAAAAAGAAATTGTTATTACTGAAGGATAGCTGTCATTTATATAGTGTATGCCCACACCCCACCCCTAGTCCTCCCACACACAAATGCATGACCTTACCTGAGACTCAAAAACAATTCTGTGAGGCTATACTGACTTCTATTCTCTTTAAAGTTGCTACAAGTTCAATTAATTCAAAATGTATTAAATGCCTCCTGTGTGCAAAGTACTCTGCTAGTTGCTGAGATATAAAGACAAATGAAAAAAGTCTCTACCATGAAGGAGCTTGTGTTCTACTGAGAGATACAGCCTACCAGCAGATAAATACAAGGTAAGGAGGAAGAAGAAATCATTACCAAGGGGGAGGGAAGAAGAAGAAATCTTAACAAGGAAGAGGGCCACAGAAGGCTTTATGGAGGAGGAAGTCCTTGAACTGAACCTTTCACAAGCCTTCCTTAACCTAACTGGAGATATCTAAATGTTAAAAAAAAAAATCAAACCAGGGTTAAGAAAGACTGCTGAATACCCTGTGTTAGCACGTGGTAGTATACAGGCAGAGTGCCAGGACAATTCACTGAAATCAACATTTGTTAGTGGTCTTGACAATTTGAGAGTCGAATTACTTAAACAAGGATACAAATAATTTGTGACATTTGCTTTACTAAAACACAAATTGAAGAACACTATGATGTCTAAGCTAAAATTACCAATAACTCAAAGAACAATGAAAAGTCACATAATAGGTGTCATAGACACAGTGCAGCATGTTACCACTAACAATTTTAATGACAAGTAGAATGACACTTTAGAAGATGTTTGCCCAGCAAAAGGAGTCCCACTCTATGCATCCATTAAGATGCAAGGGAACAAATACTTTCAGCATTTGGAAGTTCCTCTATAAAGGATTTAAGAGAAGAGAAGGACAAGAATCATTCACGACAAGGCATGCCCACACTGATGAAATCAGAATCTATAAAAAGTATCTTTGGAGAATAGTGAGAATGTTTAAGTCACATAGAAAAGCAGTCCAGGATCACATAGCTAAAAGAGTCCTTAGAGATCAACTAGCTCAAACTCCTTTATTTCACAGATGAGGAAAATAAGATGACAGCAGGTAAATGACTTGTTCAAGGTTGGCTAAGTGTTGGGAAGATAGGAAAGAACCAGGATTCAACAACATTCAGAACTTCAGAATGTTAGCACTGGATTGACATCTCAGAGGCAGCACTATAACTAATTCATTTTGTGCCCAAGATAAGAATGTACAATTGTACCACCTAATGCATGACTTGTTGAGTATAGTATCTTCACATTTCTAACTGAGAAAAAACCTCACTAGCCATCTAGTTCAACTTATACTTGAAAAAGAATCTTTCATATACAACTGTCAAGTAATCACACAGCCTCTGCTCAAAGACCTCAAATGTGAGGCAACTCACGATCTCTAACACAGCCTATTTCACTTATGGATAGCCTAAGTAGTAGGAAAGGTTTTCCTGACTTCAAGCCCAGATTTGCCTCTTTGCAACTTTTACACTTTGCTTCTGGTTCTTCCATTTCCACACGACAACCCTTTAAATACCTACACACAGCTACCATATTTCTCCTGAGTATTCTCCAGGCTAAAAATCCATAGTTCCTTCAACCAATCCGCATATGACAAATTCAAGGCCACCATTCTGGAAGTCCTTCTCCAGACAATATCTGGTTACCAAAGTCTTTTCTAAAATGGATACTCAGAACTGAACACAAAATACACCCAAAGTTATCTGACTAGGACAGAATACAATTAAGACTATTTCCTCCTTACATCCGGAAGCTATGCCTCTCTTAAAGGTTCCAAGACTGAACAAGTTTTTCTGGCAGTTACATCACATTGCTGACTCAAGTTGAACTTGATGTTCACCAAAACCCTTAAGTGTTTTCCAGATGAACTGCTGTCTAGTCAAAAATCAAGTTCTTGAATTTAAATATAAGATTTGACATAAATTTTTATCTTATTAGATTAATTTTCTAGTCTGTCAAGGTCTTTCTGGATCCTGTCATCCAGTGTCAGCTACCCCACCTAGTTTTTTGTCATCTATAAAACATATGCACCATAGAAGCATATTTTATGCATTTTCTCTTCAAAGCCTCTCTGCTTTGCATGCCAGAAACAAATGCTTCACTTGCCTCACCCTTCTTAGGACTCCAATAATTTGGTCTAATTTTTACCTGACCAAGAATCATCCATAAGTAGTCATATAGCCTTCATGAAACATATGACTTTCTTTCATGGCTTTTTGTTCACTTCATCTCATCAGCTCCTAGGAGTTCAATTACTGTTTCTAAATAGATGATTCCCAGATCTTTATATTCAGTCCTAGTCTCTCTTCTAAGCGACAGCTCCACATCACCAATTGCCTACTGTCATCTTGAACTGGAAATCTTAGAGGCATCTCAAACTTACTATTGTCCAAAACAGAACTCATCCTCTTTACTGACAAACCCTCCTCTTTCCCAATTTCCCTATTACTGTTGAAGACACCACCATCCTTCCCCTCACCCAAGGTCTATAATCTCAGTGCCTTCCTCAATTCGTTGCTCTCATTTAGCCTCACATCTCCATTCCATTGCCAAATCATGTACTTTTCACCTTCACAACACCTCTCCTTTACTTTCTCTTCTCACCACTCACAGAGGCACCTCCCTATCCCCGCTCTTACCACCTCTTGACCAGACTACTGCAAAGAGCCTTCTAAACTGTCTCCCTGCTTTCTGCTGTATTTTGCCACCCAGCTGTCAAGGTGAATTTTCTAAAGGGAAGGTCTTACCATATCACTCCAAAATCTCCCATGTACTACAGTGTCTCCTATCTACCTCTAGGGTCAAATACAAATTCTTATTTGACATTTCAAACTTTCATAACCTGACCCTTTCCTACCTTTTCAGTCTTCTTACACTTTAGCCCTCTCTACGCACAGATGGATTCTGCTACACTGACCTACTTGCTTTTCCTCCTCTATCATGGCATTCCATTTCACTTCTCCATGTCTTTGCACTGGGTTCCCCATGCTTGGAATATTCTCCCTCCTCATTTCCACCTCCTGTCTTTTTCTGGCTTCAAGACTCAGGTCAAATCTCACTTTCCAAAGGATGCCTTTCCAGTCCCCCAGCTGCTAGTGTATTCCCCTCTGAGATTACCTTCCATCTACAATGCATAGATTTTGTATGTACCTAGTTACTTACAGTTGTATCTCTATTCGAATGTAAGCTCTTTGAGGGTGGGTTCGTTCTTTGTATCCCCAGAACTTGGCTCCTGCCTGGCACAGTTAAGTGTCTAATAAATCACTGCAGACTGACCTCACTTCTCAATGGTCTCCCTGCCTTTTAATCTTTCCCCACTCGACAACCAAGGTGAAATTTTAAAGGGAAGCTTTTACATATCACCCTCCCCCAAACTCCCAAGAGCTGCAGTGGCTCCCTATTACTTACCTCTAGGATCAAATATACTGTACGGTATAATGTGTGGGGTGGTAAAAAGAGAGAAGGGGCCTAGTGACAAATAAAGACAAGGAGCTTTGGTCGGCCGCTTAGTTATGTGGGACTTCGGCTACGTCACTTCCTCTCTCTAAGCCTCAGTTTCCACATTTGTAAACCAAACCTTTCCTGAACCAGGTCCGTGCTGTCTTCGAGGCTCAGAAGTATCCAGGAGCCCCGGGCCAGGGCCCAGAACCAGTGCCTGTTCGCTGGAGAAGAGGGGGTGTCCGTGTATCTGGGGGAGGAGTTCGGGGGGGGCACACGACCTCCTCCTTCCCTCACTGCCCCCCTCCCCCGCCTCGCTCTCTGCTCTCGCGGGAAAGGAGGGGGGGGAGGAAGGCCTCTTCCTCACACCTGCCCCAAGCCAGTTTGGGGGACCGCAGGTACTCAGAACCCACCCCCATCCCCCTTTCCCGGAACCCTAACCACTCACCAGCCCCAAACCGACCTCTCCAGAATCCTAGAAAACCGAACAATGCCGAGTTCACAAAGCCGGAAGTTTGGGACGAGAGAGTCCCTCCGCAGGGCGCGAGGCAGACAGGCTTGCCCTTCTCTAGGACGGCTGGAGGACTCCACACCTCTATGGTACCCTTCATTTGGCCAGCTAGGAGCCAGAAGAAACCTGGAGGACTTCCCGTTAGATTTGTTGAAAAACTCTGTGGCCAAGACATATTACCTTTATTTCAGGAGTTCTTAACGTGGGATCTGTGGGTTTGTATTTTAATCTTAAACACTTATTTGTTTCAACTAACATTTATGATCACTCTCTCACACCTCTCCTTCAACGATTTTTAAAACCCTCCAACAGGCATAGTCCTGCAGAATAAATGCCCCCCAAGGCATTGCCCCCTCCTTCGGATTGTTGAGCCCATCACATTGCTGGCAGGAGGCGGGTGGTAGGAATCACCGTTTATCATTGTTTTAATCAGAATTCTAAATTAGTTTTTTCAAAGTTGTTTTTCTCTGTAATGTTGTTTTGTTGTGTAAATTGTCCTCTTAGTTCTACTTACTTCATTCTGCATCAGATCATAGAGATTTTCCTGGTTCCTTCAGAAAATGTCCATTTCATCATATATTATAGCATGATAATATTCCATTACGTCACAATACCAAGATTTGTTTAGCTATTCCCCACAATAGTTGGCACCCCTTTCATTTCCAGTTTTTGGCTACTGTGAAAAAAACTGCTATAAATATTTTTGTACATTGTACATTTTGTACATTGGGACCTTTTTCTTTTCCTTTGAACTTTTCTGAGGTCTACACTTAGTAGTGATATAATTAGGTCAAAGGGCAGGGACAGTTTAACTTTGTGAGCATAGTTCCAAATTGCTTTCAAGAATAATTGAATGAACTCAACTCACAGCTCCATTAGCAATGTATTAATGAACCTAGTCCCTCAAACATTTATCATTTCCATCTTTTGTTATTGCACATCTAACGAGTGTAAAGTGGAACCTGAGAGTTGCTTTGAATTGCATTTCACTAATTATTAGTGATTTGGAGCTTTTTTTATGGTTATTGATAGCTAGGATGTCTTCCTTTGAAAACTGCTCCTTCCTATTCTTTGACTATTTAGCTAATGGAGAATGTCTCTTAGTCTTATGTATGTTCTGTCTGGTCCCACACTTTGTGACCTCTTTTCGCTCTATGAGTGAAGCAGAATCGCAGTAGTTCAAAATAAATGCAAGATGCGAAAATGTAGAGGTGGCTCCACTCCAGATATTCATATGAACTATTTGTGCCTAACCTGTGAGAGAGCATTCTGAGCTCCTCTTGGTCTGGTCAGCCACAGTTGGACACACTGTACCTTGACTCCAACATAGTGATGTCATTTTGGTCCTCTTTGAGAACGAGGGACAGCAGCCAACCAACCAAAGGGGAACATCTCTTAGTCTTATGTGTGTTCAGTCCTGTCCAACTCTTTGTGACCCCATTTGGGGTTTTCTTGGCAAAGAAACTGGAGTGGTTTGTCATCTCCTTCTTCATCTCATTTTACAGATGAGGAAATTGAGGCAAACAGGGTTAAGTGACTTGCCCAGAGTCATACAGCTATTAAGTGTCTGAGGCCAGATTTGAACAATTTGGTTTTTTCCTCTCTTCATCTCCATCTCATAGAATCTTTAACTTCCTTCAGGATACAGTTTAAGTACTACCTTTGATGTGACACATTTCCTGATCCTCTCAATTGCTAGGGTCATCCTTCCCTTATAGCTAACTAGTTTGGATTTATTCTCTTTTTATTATATATATATATATATATATACACACACACATAACACACACACACATATATATACATACACATATGTGTATACACACACATATATATACACACATACATATATTTCTCCATTAAAATGTAAGCTTGTTGCAAGTAAAGATTAATTCTTTGTTTTTATTGTTTTTTTTATATTTGTTTTTATATTCCAGTCCCTAGCACAATGCCTGGCACATAATAAATGCCTTACTGTAGTCCTTTAACAAAGTGGTGTTAATAAACAAGTAGTTTAATAATAGACAAGTAGTAACTCGTTGACTGGCTGCCAATTTTACAAATGAGGAAATCAAGACTCAGAGCTCATCATCACATAGCCAGTAAGTGTCCTAGGTGACATCTGACCCCAAGGATTCTTGATTGTAATTCCTATGTGCTATCCATCTTGCCATATTGATTCTCCAAAATAATGTAGTACAAACTGTTAAAAATGCTGAAGGAATACAAAATAAAGGAGTCAGTTGAACATAAGATCCTTGAGAAAAGGGACTGTTTCACTTTTGTCTTTGTATTCCTAGAGCCTGGCACATGGTCAGCCTAGATTATTCTTAAGGTTCCTTCCAGTTCTGTGATTCTACAATCTACTGCAAATGGATACAGACTGGTAAAGAACACAAGAGGTCATGATCAGCACTGTTATACTCTCCTAGGAATTGTGGGGAGGACATTTTGACCAGAATAGCAAACATATTATAAAACAAGGCTAGAAATGATGGTTGGAGATAGAACCTGGTGGACCTTGAATGCCAGGATAAGGAGTGTGCATTCAAGTGCACAGATGCATGAAAGGAAGAGAGGATACAGTGAGGCCTAGAGAGGTTAAGAAAAGTGGGGCAAGGGGAAAAGTTAAAGTTCAATTAATGTGTAGGTAGCCTCATAAAGATTTCATATACATAGGAAACATGTATGAGTATATAGTTTGGTAGTTGTTGGTGATTTCTTGGTTGCTTTTTTTTAATGTCAATAAGGCCTATGATTTCTTCTGTGCCTTTGCTATCTTCTTCAGATACCTTTTGAACCGATCCTCAGTGTACTCACAATTATGTCACCTCCAGCATGGATGTTTTATATACACATACATACATAAATATACATATGTATGTATATATACATATACATGTATGTATATGCATACTCACACACACATATAATCATAGTTCAGTTTTGCTGTTTTTTCCCTGGCTTTGTTCTCTGTAATGCCATTTCTATTGCCCCTAGAAGCTTGTCCAGAATTATGGAGTCAGAGTTTATAGGGGTGGCACCACTGTCTTTGATGTTGAAAACAGCTTGGTATAAAAATTTTTCCAAATCTTTTCCATTTTTCTCCTGTTTATATTATTCTTACCATTTTTGTCTTTTAATTTCCTAAGGATAGCTTTCCCTCCACTGCTTCTTTCTGCTTTGTCTTTGACTATAATACTGTTAAAATAATTAGCTCATTTTAAGCAGAGGGCAATGAAATGGCTCCTAAGGTCAACTTGGTTCTCTACCCTTTGGCTTTAGGATTTTTTTTTTTAATGAAATGTCCCAAGTTCAATGACAATGGCTATGAGCACCAAGTTAGGACAATATCTAACACCTGGGTTCTTTGTCTAGCCTTACCTTTGTATTAACTCTGGCCTTTTTTGTTGTTAAGACAAAACTCTGTTTACTAGAAATATTTGGGTAATGAAATAGCAGATATATTATAGTGTCTGTGGATAGAGAGTTTGACAGGCATCAAGAGAAATTGGAGGAATGCCTGACCTGTTCTTGGTACATTCCTCAACCTGGGTCTTCCACTCCAAGATACCTACCAAGCCAGTGACTCTCTTTGATATCTCATTATCTCTGCCACAGTTCTTCAACTGAAACTACTCTCTCCAAAGTTAATGCTTTTCTCTTAATTGCCAAATCTAAGGGCCTTTTCTAAATCTTCATTCTCCCTGACTTCTGTGCATCCTTTGACATTGCTGATCATCCTCCACTCCTTGATACTCTCTTCTAAGTTTTTGTGACACTACTCTCTTCTGGTTCCCTTACTACTTATCTGACCACTTCTTTTACGGGATCTAAATCCAGAGCATACCTGCTAACTGTGAATGCCCCACAGGGCTTGGTCCTGGGCCCTTTTCTTCTTCTCTAGAGGCTTCAAACTTGTGGCCAGAGGCTACAAGACTACTAAATCTGAACCAGATTAAAATGTAATTGCAAAATACTTAAAATTAATAAAAATACAACATAGATATAACATTAATTTGTTGTTTTCTAAGTCAATATGCAGCCAGAAGGGATTCCTTTGTATTTTACTTTAACACCATTGCTTTATACTGTTTTACTTGGTGATCTCATCAACCCTCATAGTTTCAACTAACATTTCTATGCAAATGATTTTCAGACTTATTTACCCAGCTCTCACCTCTTTCTGGACTTGCATCTCCAACTATCAATTGGATATTTGAACTAGATGGACATTTTAAATTCAGTATGTCCAAAACAAAAATTCATTATTTTCCCCTCCAAACATTCTCCTCTTCTGAACTTCCCTGTTACTATTTGAGAGTATTTGTTGTTAATCCTTCCTTTTCCAAGAAGGCCAATGACCCCACCATGTGATGATGCGTGATGCCTTGACTTGCAGGTGAATTGGATTTAAGTGAGGCAGAATTGCAAAAAGTTAACCACTTTCCACAACTCTGCCTCAGAGATTGAGTGAAAGAGGGGAATTAAAGATAAAGGTTTGGGCTTCGGAGGTCTTTTCTAGTTCGAGATCTAAGCCTGGGTCACTGGGAGGACAGTCTGGAAGAGAGAGTGAGGCAGAGTACACATACAATTTACAGCAGTAAATAAACATAACAACCTTGTATTTGACAAGTGTAAAGACTTAAGAATTCATTATTTGGTAAAAATTGGTGGGAAAACTGGAAAACAGTATGGCAGAAACTAGATATGGACCAATATCTCACACTACTTACCAAGATAACATCAAAATGGATAAATGACCTAGATACAGAGATTTTACAAGAAAATTAGAAGAACATTTTTATAACTACAAATTGTTTAGATCTCTTTATTGGAAAACTGCCTGTTCATATGCTTTGACTGCTTATCAATTGGGAACTGGCTCGTAGTTTTATAAATTTGATAAAGTTCGTTGTATATTTTAGACATGAGACCTTTATTTGATAAATTGTCTATAAAATTTCCCCTAATTTTCTGTTTTCATTCTAATCTTGGCTATATTTGTTTTATTTATAGAAATCCTTTTAAGTTTAATGTAAT